CCCCCGCCTCTTTTCCCAGCTGCGCGGAGGAGCAGCAGCCCCCTCCCCAACCGGCATGCTGGAAATAAAATCTTGGCACCGAGAGCACTTGGAAACGACCCCAGAGTTTGGTGGTGCCAGGAATTCAGTTCGGGTGCCAGGCTGGCAGGTGGGACGGCGAGGGCCGCGCTTGGCTGGAGGCCTGCCCGGCCTGAATGGCTGATGAATTTAATTTCCCTTCTTGGAATCCCAGGAGGTTCTCGGCGTGGTTCGTGGGGGGTGGAAGGTCAAGCCCCACCGCCACTTTCCAAAGAGACCAGTATATAACAGGAGACGAGGAAAGCAGATCTGAGCCAGCCTCTTGCTGCTGTGTTGGGACACCAATTTGTCAAAACTCCCCCCTACCCACTCAAATGCCTCCAAAATATCCCCCCTCCCACTGCTGCCTTTCCTGGCTCAATAATTGGGAGCAGATATGAAGGATGCACATCCTTCAGCCTGGCTTCCCCACTCCGAGTGAGGCGCAAGTCCCATTAGAGTAGGAGTCCCCAAACTTGGCAACTTTAAGACTTGTGGACTTCAACTCCCAGAATTCCTCAGCCAGCACAGCTTACTCTCTTGCAGGTCTTTCCTCTGCAGTCTCTCCTCTTTGGGGGAATAAGAGAAAAAGAAACAGACACGGCTGGCTGAGGAATTCTGGGAGTTGAAGTCCACAAGTCTTAAAGTTTGCCAAGTTTGGAGACCCCTGGTTTAGAGCCTGATGCCCCCCCCCGCCCCCCCAAAGACAGGCCTTCTGGGAACGGTGTGCATGGAACTCACACATGGGTTACTGAGGGGGGAGGGCATCCTGGCAGGGGCTCAGGCAGCTGAGATCAGGAGGGGGAGGTGTGAGAAGGTGGGGTGGGGAGACTGTCACAGATGTTCCCCACGAGACCCTGTGGGGGGATGTGGGAGGGGAGAGGAATAATGTGCCGTGCAGCTCCAGCATGTGCACTTGTGTCTTTGGACTCAAGAGTTGCGCTGATTAGCATGTGAAAGGCCGGAACAGTGGGGTTCTTGTGCAGCCTGGGTCAGATGCCCGAGACGGCCCTCCCATCAGGGTTTGGAGCCCACGGCCGGCGAGCCTTTGGCGTAAACTCCCCCTGCCCCCCCAGTACAATTAACCTTTCTCGCTGGTGGACGAGGTCATCCCTGTTGGGTGCAGCTGCCGGGGATTATGCAATTGCCAATTGAGAGCCCAAACTCTGAAAAGCTGACTTTGGCATCGAACGATCTCCTGGAAGCTACCGGATGTTTGTGGATAAAACAAACGCTCTTCCTCTCTCTCTCAATCACTGGAGTTCCAGCCGCATAGGAGAAAACAATAATTGAGGTTCAGGTGTAGGAAAAAAAGTTGCGTTGCTACTTCTCAGAATCACAACAGAAAAATGAAGTATAGCGTAGGTGCCTCTTGTCATTATCTGTCTCTTTATTTGATTGGAGGTCTTTGTCAAGCAAGTGGGAAGTTGTGGGTGCTTCATCCCTGGAGGTTTTTAAGAAGAGACTGGACAGCTACTTGTCTGAAATGGTTTGGGTCTCCTGCTTGAGCAGGGGGTTGGACTAGATGACCTACCAGGTCCCTTCCAGCTCTATTCTGATCCTCAGAGGACTGAAACCTGGAGCAATCTAGTTTTACCACTGCTTAATTATTTCCACTGGTACTTTTCAGATCTGGTTCAGAGGGACATTCCATAGCGAGGTGATCGAGTTTCCGATCAGAAAAAAAAAAATACCTCCATGAATTTCAGTTTCCCCCCCTACTCATATAGACCCATGAGTCTGCTTGTTACATCTCTGTATGAATAGTGCTTATGGTCTGGCCGCAGGTCAATTCAGCTGCAGGCTGGGTCAAGCCATGTGGCAGTGCCTTCGAGTCTGCACCATCAAAGCTGACGCCAGCCAGAGCATAGAACAACTCAGAGAAGTCGGGCAAGGTCAGAAGATGTGGAAAGACCTGGCCCATAATCATAATACTTATTCTCCTTTTTTTAAATATCATTTTTTTAAATATTTACAATAATTCCATCTTTCATTCATACAGTGTGTCGACTGGGTACATATATTTTGTGTTAACGATTATAATTAATATTTTTCTTACCAATATAACAATAATCACATTTTCTTTATAAGCCATCATTTCTTATATCTATTACTTTTATAACAATCTTATTTCTCTATATGTTCATCTACTCCATTTTAACTTGTTTTCTTTTCCAACCATTGATAAAATAAGTCCCATACCATGTAATATAATTCTTTTTCTCATTCTCCTCCTCCTCCCTCCTCCCTTCTTTTCCTCCCCCTCCTCCTCCTCCTCCTCCGCTTCACTCTCATGACTGCGGTCTAAACTGCCGACCCTTACTCTGTGTCCAATTCCTTTTTACATCTGGATGGGTTTCTGGGAGCTCTGGGAGCGCAGTGGTTAGAATGCAGTATTGCAAGCTTTCTGACCACAGCCAGGAGTTTGATCCTGACCAACTCAAGGTTGACTCAGCCTTCCATCCTTCCGAGCTCCATAAAATGAGGACCCAGATCGTTGAGGCTGACCCTGTAAACTGCTTAGAGACTGCTGTAAAGCACCATGAAGCAGTATATAAGTCCAAGCGTTGTTGCTATTGTATAACACATACATAGGTGGATAGTCCTGAAATGGTACCCAATTTACCTGTTAGGAACGTTTTAACATTTAAGATGAGGAAATAGGCAGCCATTCTTTCAGCTCTAGTGTTGAAGCCTCTGGAGTACCAAACTGAGGAATATAGATTTCTATATAATTAGAACATGTATAATATTTAGTTTATTTAGTATTTAATATTTAGTTTACTAATATTCACTCCTAGGTAGAGGCAGATATTTCTCTCTCTAGGCACACTGAGAACATATCTGCGGAACAAAACTCCGCATTGGTGATAGGAAGGGCATCCGGCCATTAAACATTCTGCTAGCTCCATTCAATTGCCCGGACTCCACCCCGAAAGGCATTATGGGGTTGTTAAATGATGATGATGTATAATATTCAGTTTGTCCATCAACATGGTTGTCTGAAAACTAGATTAGCTGCTGACATAGCTACTTGATTGCTTTACCCTTTTCTGCCACCCTCCCCTTTCTTAATAATCATTTGGATATTGGGCCATTGTTGGAGGAAAATTTTATGCAAAGGTTGCCATTTGCATGAGATTGGGTGGAATTGTTCCCTTCCTACCTGACAGCTGTCTTGAGTGCAGTTGGAAAAGAAGTAAAGCCAAATACTGGGTGGTATATATATATATTTTATATTTTATATTTTATATTTTATATTTTATATTTTATATTTTATATTTTATATTTTATATTTTATATTTTATATTTTATATTTTATATTTTATATTTTATATTTTATATTTTATATTTTATATTTTATATTTTATATTTTATATTTTATATTTTATATTTTATATTT